ATATAGAAAGCTTAGAAACTTGACCGGACTGAAAAGAAGAAATGGTGGACCTTGAAAATGATTTCCGGTTCCCTCACTGTGCAGAATATAGTCACACACTGCTGCAGTTAAGTATTTTACCCTTTGTTCTCCCTGTGTGATCTACAATAATAATCTGCTTCATGTTGATATTTACTACTGTGTTGCTGACAAGTTGGGGTGCTTTACTGGACTGGAAAAAGTTCAGGTAAATCAGAAAGCAGGTCTAATAAGCAAGTTTATTCTATATATATAAAAAGTTAAGTTGACTCGACCATGCGCGATACATATAAAGCTCTTGCTGGCACCAATCGCACATGTCTATTTCCATGTCATTGTCGATCGTGAATTTGGTTGACATTTCTATTATAGAGAAAGGGTGAATACAGTGGGGCCTTGACTTATGAGTTTAATTCGTTCCGTGACGGAGCTCGTAACTCAAATTACGCGTATGTCAAATCATAAAGTGAATGAGTGAGACATGTGATGCTGGGCTGATGTTGTGGTGTTAACTGTGACGTTCGCTGCGCCAACTAGTGGTCGGGTATCCGAAGCTGGCTCATAACCCACATTTTAGCTCGCAACTCAAAGCACAAAATCTGCCAAGAGATGGCTCGTATCTCAAAAAACTCATTAGTCGGGACACTCGTAAGTCAAGGCCCCACTGTAGTGATATTAAAATATTTCCTCTAATTAATTTCCTTTCAATGTGCACAAATTCGTGTATGGGGCTACTAGTCTTCTAATGATTTATAGGCCCCAAACAGAAAGAATTAAAGAGTATAATTTAGCCCTAGCTGGTTTGGCTCGGTGAATAGAGCATCGCCTGTGGACTGAAAGGTCCCAGGTTTGATTCCAGTCAAGGGCACATGGCCAGGTTGCAGGCTCGATCCCCAGTAGGGTGTGTCCAGGAAGCTGCCGATCAATGATTCTCTCTCATTACTGATGTTTATATCTCTCTCTCCCTCTCCCTTCCTCTCTGAAATCAATAAAATATATTTTTAAAAAAAGAGTATAATCTATATAAAGTACTTAATATAGTACCCGACCTGAACTCTCTAAACCAGAAGGTGCCCAGCTGGGTGGCTCAGTTGGTTGGAACGTTGTCATCGGGTTTGATTCCTGGCCTGAGCACATACCTAGATTACAGATTTGATCCCCAGTCAGGCACTTACTGAAGGCAGCCAATCAATGTTTCTCTCTGTCTCTCCCTCTCTCTCAAATCAATTAACATATCCTCAGATGATGATTAAAAAACAAAACACAACAACAACAAAAAACCGAGGGAATGCCTATCTTGATTATTACTCACTCTTTAAAATTTTTAGCTCATCAAGAACTTCTTTACACCAATATTTTCTTCCCAAGCCTCTCCTTTTCTTTCCTGTTGGAATCACTTACAATTGCAGAGTAGAGCAAAGAAAAGTGGAAAAGAAAGAGGTAAATTGTGCCAAATGTGTACTTAGCAGAACAATAGGGGGGCAGGGCATGAGACTAAAGAATCCAACTTGTGTTTCTGATAAATTTTTGTAAAAACTGCCTACCTTGCTCTAGCTGGTTTGGCTCAGTGGATAGAGTCTCAGGTCACGGTTAGATTCCCAGTCACAGCACAGGCTTAATCCTCAGTGGTCGGGGGGCGTGCAGGAGGCAGCTGATCCATGATTATCTCTCATTGTTGATGTTTCTTTCTCTCTCTCCCTCTCTCTGAAATAAAAACAACTGCCTACCTCTTTTAGAGTCTTGGGATCATATCTATTTTTCATTCAACTCTGTGAAATCTACCACTCTAATTTCTACAGTAATAAAAATAGATACTAGTTACTACATGCCTTAGTTCTGAAGTTTAGGAGATTCCCTCTAAGTTTCCTTTGCTGGAACTCCATTACTGAATAAATGCCTCTGTTCTAGCATTCAGCTTTAAGGTCATCAAGAAGACATGACCGCCAGTTTGACCTATGAGCTGGATCTGCAATTGGAGGCTCCCCACTCCCCGCCCTGTGCACTCTACTTGCCTTCCCTGAGCTAGACAGAAGCTGCCCAAGGACACAGCCTTGAGATACTAATGCGGTGATGAGACTATCTAGACTGGGTTCATGACTAAACTCTGTTAAGGCCTCCTATGTACATGACTGACCCCAGTTAAGGTCTTCACATAAACTTCTAAGATTTGGTGATGGAACCTGGCTAGATAGCTCAGTTGGTTAGAATGTCATCCCAATACATCAAGGTTGGGGTTCAATCCCTAACTGGGCACATACAAGAACCAACCAATGAATGCATCAATAAGTAGCATAACAAATAAATGCGGTTTTTTCTCTCCCCCTCTCCCCCTTCCTTCTTTCCTCTCTCTCTCTCTCTCTCTCTCTCTCTCTCTCTCTCTCTCTCTCTCATAAATTTAAAAAAATATTCGGTGGGCAGATACAGAAAACTACTCATTTTGTAGTCACCTAAGATAAGCCTCATAAGTTTACTTGCTTATTAAACCTGCCACCTACCAATCTGGAGTGATCTGCCTTTTTCTTCAGTCTCTCCCTGTTCTCTATGCATGGGGGCTGGTTTCAGATTACACCTCTCATTGTTGATGTTTCTATCTCTCTGGAAGAAGTTGCAACCCAACAACCTGTTACCATCATGACTTTTTAGCCCAGTTTGGGGTAACTTCTTTGCTTTTACCATAATCCTTGATTAGTAAGTACTCCTTGATCCCAGTGCCAGAAATCCAACACACCCAGAAATGATAATGTCCATTAGAAGACCAAAGACCAAAGAGATCATCTCTTCCTCCAGTCCCATCGACCATACCTAACCATATGTAAACCAATCACTGACTGGCTTGCATAGATGAAGACCTAACATGGAGCCAGCCTCCCGCTGAAGCATATAATCATGCAGCCTTAACAAAATTAGAGTCTTGTCGGGAAAGGGGAAGGACAGGGGGGAATGCTGTTGAGTAGGCTGCCAAGAGTATCGGTTGCAGGAGGGAGTGGGAAATTCCAGTTAAATTGGGGAGCCCCTCAAATATTATTCTAAGTTCCCTGACTCCAGCCCTTTCCTGGGCATTTACCATTTGACTGTTCAGATTCAACTAGGCAATTCTGGCCATGCATACTAGGCTACAGAAGCGGGCTAAAGTAGTAACGCCAAATGAGCATATCCACAAGATGGCAGTATTGTACAATTATTGAAAACAGGGTGGGGCCAGGTTCTTGAACATATCCCTCAGTGGCATATTCTGTGATCTACTGAGTGGATGCCTGTTTTTATAGCTTCACTTACTTGTGAAATATATGGGCAGTTCCCTTCCCCAGAAGTCTTACCGTTCTCTCTCTCTCTCGCAGAGAAATGAAAGAGCAGAGAAATGAAAGAGCAGTTCATTTGGGAGTCAGAAAAACCTGAGTTTGATACAAGATATCCCCAACTCACTTAGTGCACTTGGGCAAGTTAACTAAGATCTCTGGGCCTCAAAAAAAAAAAAAAAAAAAAGATCTCTGAGCCTCAGTTGTCCCATCTAAAAATTTTAAATGATGAAATTACTTCCCCCACAATATGTTTTTTATGACATAAGATGCTGTATAGCCCTGGCCCGTGTGGCTCAGTTGGTTGGAGCATCATCTGGTGCACTGAAAGGTCATTGGTTTGATTCCCAGTCAGGGCATATCAGGATGCAAGTTTGATCCCCAGTGGTGGTGAGCCAATCAATGTTTTGTTCTCCTGAAAATCAATAAAAACATATTTTTAAATGCTGTAGAATTATTACCAATCAGGGTAGATACCATCTGAAAACTCAGTATCTTCAAGTTGATTGGAAGAAAGGTTCTGATGCCTTTAGACTCACCTAGAATATTTGTTTCCTATGACACATCTTAAAAGCCTAGAGTGGGGACCTTCTCAGAAGGAATAATCTACATAATTCAACCAGTTGTGGTAGTATCATAGTTATTACACTTTTTGTTGTTGCTATACTTGTCTTATTTGGGCTTTGGACAGTAATTGTAAAGGTCCTACTTCAGCTAACGGCCTTTTCCCCTCCACCAGGAAGGTTAAAAAAGGTCACATTTGGCTTGAATTGCCTAATAATAACAGCAGTAGAGTATATTTGTACAAGGGTTATGGCTTAAACAAAGTGCTTTTAGATATCCTATTTCAACTAGGGTAGATAGAACCTATGGCAATCAATGATTGCGTGGGACAAGAAAATACAGGCTTAGAAGGTCAATAGAATTTGAAATTCCAAGCAATGAAATATTAAATAGTATGAATTTCATATAGATTACAGGGGACTGACAGGTAAGTAGAAAGGGCCTATATCTATCATTTGCCCGGTCTACACAACAGATAAGAGGTTCTTAGGAGTTTCAGGTTCAGAGTCCAACAGGAAGTAAAAAAGGGTCTAGAAAGTCCAGGAGGTAGCTAAGGTTGTTATTAAATAGATCACCTGGCTTCAGAATCTCAAAAGATGAGAGACAGGAGTAATTAACACCGGCAAAGCAGGAGTAAGCAGCATTGTCCAGGAGGGCTGGCTGGTGGGGACAGGAGGGTAGAGGTACATAACTGAGACCAGGCAGCCAGGATCAAGGAACCAGCTAGAGAGCCAGGGACTACTGGGTTTGAGACTCAGCAATGGAGGAGATGGGTGTCAGCCCTCAAAAAAAAAGATGGGAGTTCAGACATAGTAAAAGGCCAGAACCCAGACCCTGACTGAGAGCCAACTTGCAGAACACAGACACTGAGAGATCCATTGAGTGGCAGATGAGCTGAGCCACTCAGTTGGAGGGGGGTGATTTACGTCGAATGTAGGTCTACCGTGGTGGTGACTGCTAAGATGCGCCCTGTTCAGACCCAGCACAGCACCGGGGTCTGGACAGGACACACTAACTTCAAGGGTGAACAAGCACACATCACGGAACAGTGGTGTGGATGAGGGGGAGTTCTCAAAAACTGGTGGTGTTGGATAAGTTACCACACCGCTGCAGCTTCCTCACACGCAAGGTGAATATAACAGCAGCTGCTTCACCTGCTTCTGGAACTGGTCATGAAGAGCACCACTTAGTGCAGCACAAAATACTTTATGAACTGTAAAGGGCTACATAAATATAGTTTGACTCTTTTTGCTTTGTGCATTGAGGCCCTACTATCTAGAGTTTTGGTTTTGGGGTTTTGGGGTTTTTTTTGTATGAACTGTAAAGGGCTACATAAATATAGTTTGGCTCTTTTTGCTTTGTGCATTGGGGCCCTACTATCTAGAGTTTTGTTTTTGAGGTTTTTGGGTTGTTTTTTTTTTTTTTTCAATCAAACCCCTGGCTTTGTTGACTGTAGAAAGTCTTTCTGGGGCAATACTAGGCTTAGCCAGAATCAAATGCAGCAGCTACTCCATTTCCTGTGATTTCTATCACTGATTCCTGGCATTAGCATGGAGAGTTGAGAGTTAACAGGATGTGCTCTTAGGACTGGCTTTCCTCAGGAATGGCAACTCAAGCATCTTCCAAATTTAGTCTCACAAGGAAGAATAGATTAATATAGTGAGTAATAATGAGTCACAGGAGCACAGTTTCATGCCCTTGCTAATGAACAATGCAGAGAAAGAAAACAGGGCTGAGAAAGAAAGGGGGGACAGAAATTGCAGAAACTTCAAAACACTAATAAAATCCTTCCAAATAAAAATAGCTAGCACAAATATCTCCAAATGTCATGCATTCCAGTGCATTTCCAGGAATTATTGGTTCATCTGATAAAAACAGAGGTTTTAAAGTACAATTTGATTATTTAAATATTGCCAGGTCAGACAGAGTGACCAGAACAAGATAATCGGGTTGAGTTGGGGAACACAGGGGAAACTCAGGAATTACATCATTTATAGTGCTTTTCAAGTCCTGGCTTTAGCAAGCTTTTCAATGAGTGCATGAACATCTATGGTTTGAATTTCCTCCCTGTCAGGACACATCTCTGGCATTTAAATATTACACTGCAGAATGTTCACTGCAGACAAAAGCGTTAAAGCTGTAGGCATTAACTCAATGCAACTCTAAGAGGCAGGGGTGGGGCTAGTGGAAACAGTAATATAAGAAGAGAAAAACTAGCTTTGCTTGATTTTCACTATTAAATCTCATTCCGTGCCAAGAATAAGACTGTTGAAAAGTAAAATCAATTCATACTTTTTCTCTATGAGAATAAGCAAGGATTTTTTTTTTTTAAGACTAACAAGGACCATGGAAGAGATGGGTGTCAGCCTTCAAAATTGTGGAGTTCAGACTCAGCTGGAAGACAGGACCCAGACCCTGACTAATCACCAAGTTGCAGAATATGGGCACTGAGAGATAATTTTTAAGTGAGGCTCCTCCCTCACCTCCAGAGAGAGCTGTACCTAAAACTAAGATACCATTGTAGCTGGCCTTCTGT